CCCCAAAACCCCAAAACCCCAAAACCCCAAAACCCCATATATTATGACAGATTGATAATATTTTTACTAAAATCATAAACTTTATTAAATCATTAAAGCTTGCGTTTTGAGGACTTTAACTGGCAATACTGATATCTTTTTGTCTTAGTAAGTATCACAGAATTCTTATTATATTAATTGATGAAGATTTTCTCTTTCCCCTAGTATAAAAATAGCATCATCACCTCCTGCTCCAGGTACTGCAGAGTAATATACTTAATCAAGTGAACTCAAGATCTAATCAAGCATTTTAGTTTGTTCTGATGGTTCAATAGCTACCTCAGTCTCCTTTGATATCTACTAAATTAAGCTTCTAATCTCAAAACATTTATTCTTTATATCCAGCTTATTTTAAATTGTGAGATTCTCAATCATCAAGTTTTCTGCAAGTGTTTAATAATTATGATTCAAAGCTTAGAAAAGTTCATTTGAAAATTAATCTGAAGGATCCTATTATTGCCTCTTGGCCCAATCAAGAACTTATCTCACCATTACTTTAGTATCTGAGCCACTATCCACATCTATTAGGCATAAATCAAGCAGTGGGTTCAGAGTGAATACCTTATGCTCATAATCAAAATTATTTTCAAAAGTCTAGATTAATTAGTTTAGCTCGAGATCTTGACAGATAATGCCCTTTTAGTAATTACTCATCAATTTTTAAACAATATCATTGAGGTCTTTTACATTTGTAAACCTCCTATAGATTTAACTGCCATAAATACTGCAAGCTATATCAAACCCACTACCAACTTTCTCCTAGACAAAAGCATTCAAAATCTATGAGTAAATGTGGAGCAATTTCAAATCATGATCTTTGGTACTTTAAATATCAATTATTTAAAACAACTGTAAAGTTGATGCCAAAAAACTTGTAATCAAGGCAGCAGAAGATCCAAGTCCAGTCTTCTTATGTGGATCAACTGGGTTATCACATAAGATTTATTTACTTAAGCTATTATAATTGAAATCATCAATGAACTATATATTGAATCAGATCGTAAATTAATTCTTACCTTATCTCTCTGGGAGTAAAATGAATTGTCACCAATCAAAGTAATCTCATATTAATTATCATTAATTTCAATTTCCCTTAGTTTTATCAATTGCAATAGAAAATACATACACTTTCCAATAAACTAATCATCTGGTTTGATATCAAACTATTCTTAATCATTCTCCCCTTTTTATACTTATACTCTGATTACTTTATTGAACTATGGGCTATTTATGATAAATTTAAAATCCTTATCAACTTCTGCCATTGATTAATTGATTTTACAATGAAATCTAGCATCAGTAGCAAGCACTATACCTTCATACTTTGGGTCAAGAATTAAATAAGCGCCTGTAACAAGTACTTTCGAACAAGTTGAAGCAGATATAGTTTTAACAATTTATGATTATTTTATGTCTAGTTGTTCCATTTTAAAGGTAAAAATAGAAATAAAAAAATGATTATTAATCATAACTAACTCAACTAAGTGTAAATTTGAGAATAAAAATCAAAGCTCAAATTATTACACACTTCAATTAACTATTAAAATCTTTCTCTAGTATCAAACCCTATTGCATACTAAAGTTTCCTAGTACAAACTGGACATAAAGCTATGGAGATAAAGGATATAAAGATTATTTGTCTTACTTCTAAGAAATCTTGTGGACTCCTCATAGCTGTTGGAACCATTCATAGTGCAGTTATAGTAAATACAATGCTTAAGTCCAAACATATGCGCAGTCTCATGTACCATAACTCCACAGGCGTTTCTCAGTAAAGTAATTTCACGATTAGGATCCTGAAGACCCTGATACTCTGGATCATACCTCTTAAAGCTAAAGACGCCTGTTCTATTACTTAGACTTGCATATCCAAAAACAAAATTTGAGGTCTCCCTTGGATAAATATCCTGCATTGTCATACTAATCATGCAATAGCCATCTTTAGGTACCAATCTATAAATAAGTTATTTAATGAGAAGGACTATAATAATACGGAATAGTCTTTTCAAGTATTACTCCAGCGTGATACTACTTATCCCCGAAAAAATCTCTACTTGGGATTTTATATTCTGCTAGAAAGTTCTGCGACTTAGATTAAATAACTTAAACCTAAACCCCATGGTAAAAAGCCCGACAGTAATATAATAACTTATCTTTGAAATCTTAAGTTATTTCATTCTCAAGAAATAGTATGTAAATCTTATTTCTTGTTTTTGAGAGAGCATTTCTTAAGGTTGACTTCATGAACTGATCAAACGTTTGTCCTGACTCCTTGTTACATACTAACCAATCAGCTTAGCTAAGTATTTATTTGGGAGAAAATAAGGATTCAGCTTATATTATCATTTGCTAGAGATTCTGATCTTTGCAATTTCGGGGGCCTACTGCATTCAATCTCTATTTTAATGTGCAATACCCAGAGTTATCTTTAACTTCTTCAATTGGAAATATATTTGATGCTTTTGATATTTTAGCAGGGGCTGAAGATTTCGATCTTGACTTAATTTGATTAGCTTTTGAGCTCAAGGGCTTAGTGTTTTTTGTATTTCTTTGCATTATAAATTATGAATTTCATAGAAATTGAAATGATTTAAACAAGGGGTTTTGGGGTTTTGGGGTTTTGGGG